TTTTAGACTTTAGAAACTCAGAAGCTGATCAAATATCGGGTTAAATGTCGGTGGGGTGGCCGATGTCCGATATTCAGTTTTAAGGCCGATACCGATAGGGGGCCGATTATATCGTGCATCCCTAGATCAGAACCAACAGTACTGATGATCTAAAGACCGCTATTAAAAGGAGTCAAGCTTTGTTTATGCCTCACCTTCACACTATGCTCCATAGATGCCCTCGTTCATGCAATAAGAGCCCTGACTCATTCTGAGTGAATAAAGATGAAAGATTTCTGTCTCAGGAAAGATTCAACATTGCTGAGAAGCAAAACTTTTGAGTTTTCACAAGCTTTAAGCTGCACATAAAATAAACACTTGAATAATATAACTGTGAGGAATCTTTGTAAAATAAAATCACGGAAATAACTGCAATTTATTGAACTGCACATGTAGCAGTACCTCTGATGAACAGCAGGAGGCAGCCGTTACCCCCTCTACTCTCCCCCTAAACTGCTTCAATGAAAAGCAAACCATCCAAACTGTGATAACAATCCCCACATGCTGCTAATACAGTCAAACAGTCAGAGTTTAGAAGGCTTCATTGTAATCTTTTCCACCGTGTTCAGGTCCATGGAATCGCAAATGACACCATAAAGTTTGTGCAGAACATCATCAACACAGAAATCAACAGCGCAACGGACAACCCTGTATCCTTCACTGTCGACTAAACAAAGCTTTCACACTGTTCTGTCAATCTGAAACCTTTTTTTAAACGACTTATTACATTTTCATCCTTTTGGTTTTACCTTAACGGCCAAACAAGATGGTATTTGCAGAACGAGGTGAAACCATTTCAGGTGGGAACTTCCATGGAGAATATCCAGCAAAGGTTTGTGGGTAATAAGGATTTTTATGATCTTGGTGGATTTGATTTATTCCTAATGCCCTATTTTCTCATAAAGGCTCTAGACTTTCTATGCATCGCTGTCCATGAGCTGGCTTCCATCAGTGAAAGGAGGATCGAGAGGTTATGTAACCCCTCCCTGAGCGAGCTGCCTGCCTTCCTTGTGAACGAGGGGGGCCTCAACTCAGGGTTCATGATTGCTCACTGCACTGCTGCTTCTTTAGGTTAGATTAGTAGTTTTAGCAAATGAAGAAGTTACCTGAGAGTCTTTATATTTTTCTATATTTTCAGGCCCTTCTAGGTTTCTTGCTTTTTATCAAATTTAACTAAATTTCTATTTCTGTTAGTTTCAGAAAACAAAGTTTTATGCCATCCTTCGTCTGTGGACTCCTTGTCCACAAGTGCAGCTACAGAAGACCATGTTTCCATGGGAGGCTGGGCCGCTCGGAAAGCTCTGAGGGTGGTGGAGCACGTGGAGCAAGGTGATGGATGGATGGATGGATGGATAGTTGATGGGTGCATGTATTAATGGATGGATAATGGATGGATGGATGGATGGATACATGGATTAATGGATGGATAATGGATGGATGGATGGATG